TATTTCCCTGCTGTAAACTATGAAACCCAAGCTCTTTGGAAGGGTGGTCATGACCCTTCACAGTTGGGCCAGCTTTACCTCCTGCCTCGTCTTACCCCCATTTCCTCCCAAGCTCCAGCTACACTGGCCTCCCCTGTGTTTCCTGAACTCACTATGAATATACACTCTGCTAGGCCTTCTCCTTCTTTCTCTTGGTAAGCTTCCATTCATCTGTCAAGGCCTGGCTCAGCTATCACCCCTGTGAAGCCTTTCCTCCTCCTCTTTGATGCTCATTACTTCTGCCTCCTGGCTCTTTTGCAGGGCTCATCCCACTGTATAGCTCACTCTGTCCTGTTTGTTTCCCTTTCAAAGCAGGGTGCTCCCCAAGACCACAAGCAGTTCTGATTTTCTTCTAAATTCCCATCGCAGTACCTGGCACAAAGTAAGCTCTCTGTTTACAACTGTGTGCTGTGTGTGCATGAACAGATGGGAAGGGGCAAGGTTTTTGAGGTTGAAACACCTTCATCCTACCCTCCTCTTTTTTTCTGTAAATATTGACACTGAGAAATTATCTGCCTATGAAGATCCCTTATGCCTATTCTATTTCCTGGAGTAGAAATTCCTCTCATCTCCCTTTGTCGCCTTGCCTGACATGCCACACCCTGGGGCCTGGTTCGGGTCACTCACTGCTAGCCTCTCTTGGCTTTGACATCTGTCTTCTTGCCAAGATTCTTTTTTTTCTTTTTTCTTCTTTTTTTGAGACAGAGCCTCAAGCTATCCACCTGGGTAAAGTGCCATGGCATCACAGCTTACAGCAACCTCCAACTCCTGGGCTCAAGCGAGTCTCCTGCCTCAGCCTCCCAAGTAGCTGGGACCACAGGCGCCTGCCACAATGCCCGGCCATTTTTTGGTTGCAGCCATCATTGTTGTTTGGCGGGTCCGGGCTGGGGATTCGAACCTGCCACCTTAGGTGTATGTGGCTGGCGCCTTAGCCGCTTGAGCCACAGGCGCCGAGCCCTTGCCAAGATTCTTACACACTGCCCACTGCTGGATCTTTGTGTTGGTAGGGCTTGCACAGAGCCCTGTACAGCCTGGTTACTGGCCATCTCTGATGATTTCTGTGTTCCTAAGGATTAAGTCCCTGGCATATATATGTGTGGGTTGATATAGCCACACATACCCTTTCACTTGGGGTGATTGATTCCCTGCAAAAGCTTCTGATGAATGAATAACAGATATCTTGGCTAACATGGTGGCTCAGGCCTGTAATCTTAGCACTCTGGGAGACTGAGGTGGGTGGATTGTCTGAGCTCAAGAGTTCAAGACCAGTAGGAGCAAGAGTGATACCCTGTCTCTAAAAATAGCCAGGAGTTGTGGAGGGCACCTGTAGTCCCAGCTCCTAGGGAAGCTGAGGCAAGAGGATCACTTGAGCCCAAGAATTTAAGGTTGCTGTGAGTTGTGACACCACGGCACTGTACTGAAGGTGACAAAGTGAAAATCTGTTTCAAAAAAAAAAAAAAGAATACAAACATCTCTGCTGTGTCTTTGTCTATGCTGACATGGACAGCCCTGCCTTCTTGGTGCTTTTTGTTCTCTAGGCTCCCAGCTCTCTGAAAATTATGGAGTGGTCAGGACCACTGTCCAAGCACTGACTTTATTAATTATACAGTACTGGAGTACTTCACACAACACTGTGCTTAGCTAAGAAAAGAGGCTACAAGGGTGGGGCATGGTGGCTCATGCCTGTAATCCCAGCACTCTGGGAGGCTGAGGCCAGTGGATTACCTGAGCTCACAGGTTCGAGATCAGCATGAGCAAGAGTGAGACCCAGTCTCTAAAAAAATAGCCGGGTGTGTGGCGGGCGCATGTAATCCCAGCTACTTGGAAGGCTGAGGCAAGAGAATCACTTGAGCCTCACAGTTTGAGGTTGCTGTGAGCTGACACCAGGTACTCTACCAACGATGACCAAGTGAGATTCTGTCTCAAAATAAATAAATAAATAAAAAGAAAGAAAAGAGGTTACAGTCTGATGCTCTTGAAATTCACCTGTCTCATCTGGTATTATGTTATTTAGAAGCAGCTAATTTTTAGAACAATGGAACTGATAACTCAGCTATGCAGGGCTGGGGTGCTGCCCTGCAGAGTATAATATGGGCTTTAAAAGAACGTGTCATTCTTTGTCTTTTGTAGCCAGAATACTAGGAAGAGATAGAGCAGTGGTTCTCAACCATCCTAATGCCACAGTCCTTTAAGACAGTTCCTGTGGGTCGCGACCCACAGGTTGAGAACTGCTGAGGTAGAGGTAGGTGTGGTACTGCATGTGATTGCACCTGAGGACTCTCTAAGAGTTTTCTTCCCGTCTCTGAGATTCTAGGGTCTGCAGGTTAGGAGGTTTTATTGTCTTGGGAGGAACGTTTATAACCAGAAAACACAAAGATGATTCCAGGGGCATTTCAGGCTCCTCAAAGTGACAGAGGATGGAAGAAAAGAGGGGTGACAATGTACACTGGACAAGAGGAAATGGAGTTAAGACTACTTAATGAGGGCTGAGAGGTACGTGAGTGGAACCCAGGGAAGCCCTGGGTCATTACGTTGTGCTATTGCATTAATTAGGATTCTTTTGATTATTAGTGAAAGAAATTCTTCTCAAGTTAAGCTTGGCAAAATAAGGGCTGGAAGACATACAAAACTATAAAGCCTAGGGAAAGAGGGACTGGAACGTCATCCAGGACTTTTTTCTTTTTTGAGACAGAGTCTCACCTTGTCACCCTTGGTAGAGCGGTGTCACAGCTCATAGCCACCTCAAACTCTTGGGCTTGAGCGATCCTCTTGCCTCAGCCTCCCAAGTAGCACCTGCTACAACACCCAGCTAATTTTTTCTATTTTTAGTAGAGACATGGTTCTTGCTCTTGCCCCGGCTGGTCTCCAACATCTGAGATGGCTTTAAATCAATGTATGTCATTCTTTGTCTTTTGTAGCTAGAATACTAGGAAGAGGTAGAGCAGTGGTTCTCAACCATCTTAATGCCATAGCCCTTTAAGACAGTTCCTGTGGGAGCTCAGGCAATCCACCCACCTCAGCCTCCCGGAGTGCTAGGATTACAGGTGTGAGCCACTGTGCCTGGCCCATTATCAGGACTTCTGTCTTTCAGCTCAGCTTCTGTGTGTCGGCATCACTTTCTCTTGCTACAGACTGACTTCTTTCACTTGGCGGAGAATATAATTGTTGCAGCCCTAGGTTCATGTTTTCTCTGCTTTGTCTTCCTTTAATTGCATTTCAGAAAGTCCCAGAGAAGGCCTCTGACTGGCTCTCCTGGCATGGGGTTCCTATCCCTGGACTCACTAGGCTGTCATTTGACTCATGTGGTCAGAGCTGGGAGAGAACCCAAACGGGAGGCAGGGAAGGGCTGTTCTGGGAAGAGCAAACAATTAGATGACTTAGGGTGAGAACTGCATAACCCTGTATCACCAAAGCTCAGAGCCTTTAGGAGTGAGGATTTCTTCCTCACAAAGAGGAAGACCTGGGCTGAAGTCAAGGGAAACCACCCAGGAAGGGGCAAGATTAGTTAGGCCACAGAACCTAACATTGGCTGAGCTCTCCCCCTGTATTTTCTTAATGGGATGAGCGTGCAAATTTGGAGTTACTTCTACTTTCTTTTTATTTCCTTTTCCCTCTCAAAATAGTTGTCATAATAGTAAAAATCTTTTCTTTTCTATTTTCCTTGTATTTGTATATAGGATTTGTGATTTTATTTGCCATGTAGTCTCTAGATCGCACAATGGTGAGTTGGAATCAGGTTGGAATTGGAAGAGGATGCCTCAGATCACTAGAGGGAGCAATGATTGTGTTCTCTTTTCTTTAATTGCAAACTGGGTCCTCAACCTCTACACAGTTCCCCCAAAGAGGCAGGGAGTGAGGGGATCATGTTTCTGTAAAACAGATCTATGAGAAGAATCCACTAGAGTTTGGAAGGCAGGACCATCTCTTACCACATTCTTCCTCAACTCTGCAAAAGCACAAGCACTCATTGTACAAGCACAGGTGGGGTTCCTAATCCCACAGGGAGACAGAAACACCTGTCCTGGGTGCCGGATGTTAGCCCCGAGCCCTGCCGCAGACCAGATTTTCTTCTCTTAAAAACATAGTTTGCATTAAGTGACTTTAAGTAAGCACAAAAATAAATACATACAGTAGAATCATGTTGACCACCTCCTTTTAAAGTTGACCTAATTTTCATAGGCGTGATGTGCACCACATTCTAAGGCCTGGTTCCTTTTGTCGACCACCTCCGTAAGTCGTTCCAGTCCTTTGGATGATCAGCATATTCTAAATTGTGATAAATGTTATGAAGAAAAGGAAAAAAGCCCTAACCCTGAATAGAAAAGGGAAACTAACAGGGTCTTGGGAGTGAGAGAGGATTTCTCTGAGATCTGAAATAAGAGTATGTGGAGAGGAGGAAGAGAATTTTAGGCATTGGGAAAAGCTGTCTGGGAGAAAGGGGCGTGAGGCCCAACTGCAGACAGGGAGGGTAAAGGGCGACGCTGGAGAGGCAGGAGGGCAGGACCCCAGAGCCCTGCGGCTGCTGCCTTAGGACTGTCCCTGTAACGGGAAAGACACAGAAGCGTTGATAGCCAGAAGGTGGTGCCTGATGAGAGTTCCATCTTGAAAATGTCCCTGTCTGCAGTGAGGTGAACGGCTGACCCGAGCCAGGGGGCCCCGTGAATGCCGGAGAGGATGCGAGAGAGGACACTGGACTGGAAGGCCCGGGTCAAACAGGCGGCGGTGGCGGCGGCGGCGGGGACCGCAGGGGGAGGCGGTTCCGGCGCGGCGGCCCTGCGGAAAACCGAACCGGCCCACGTGGGCCGCCCCGCCCCGCCGCGCAGACGCCGCCTGACTCCGCAGTCTGAGCCTGGGGCTGGGCGCGCAGCCGGCGAGCCCCGCACGTTCGGGACCGCGGGGACCCCCAGGGACCCACCCCCGCATCCTAGCCAACAGTGACGAGTTCCCGAACGGCGCCGGCGGAACCAGACCTGCCGCGCCGGAGCGGGCGCCTCTAGGCCGTGAGTCTGGGCCCCAGGGGGAGGATTTGGAGGGGGAGGCTCCAGCCGCTTAAGAGGGGCTTCACAGCCCCCGCCTAGCTGCCTCCTTAGCAGAGATTAGGGAAGGACGGTCTCTGTCCTCTGACTCCTGGGGATAGTCTCCCTCTCCTGCAAAGGCAGGAAAGGAGGTCGCCTGTCCCCATCTTACACAGCTACCCCCCCCATCCTGGGGTGTCTGGTTCCCATTTAAAAAGCTCTGAACCCATGATCCTAGCGCCATCCTCACCCTTACCCCATGCCAGCTTCCTTAGGGGCCCCGCCCAAGTTTAGGAAAAACAAAAAATTGGGGCAAGAGGTGATCTCCAAGCACCTTCCCACAAACCTTGCTGAGAGGGAAGGGGGCACGCAGGTTACAAAGCTGTTCCTACCCCCATACCTTCCAGGACCTCTGCCCACCGCCGAGTGTGGGATGCCAGGTGGAGATCCTCCTGCTCTGCTTACAGCATCCTTCAGCTTCATGACCTCAAATAGTCTAATCGTAGTGGTAATGTGTGGTTAGGAGAAAAACCTGTTGTCAATTCAAACCCTACTTTTTGTGGTGTGATGTGCCCTCCCTCCAAGGCCTCAGGAGACAGAGCAAGCTGGGTATGGGGACACAGGATAGTAGACACATTCCAGGGGCCCCTGCAGGGGAGGGGCAAGCTCAGGAGTGACACTTATCAGTGGAGGAGGGGTGCTCCCTAGGGCAGAGGGAGACTGAACCCAGCTCTTGCAACCCTGGGCAGTGGCAGTAGCCTCCTGCTGCTGTTAGCTCTGTCTTCTGAGCAGAGAAGTCCCCAGTCACGTTCACTCACTCAGCAAGTGCCTGCATGTACTGACACCTGCTAGTGCCAGGCTCTGTGCCGGCTCCTGGGAATACCAAGGAGGAAATATGGGGGAGTTCCAAGTCTATAATCAGGGAGCCAGATTATAACCTGATGTCACAACACTGTTAAACAAGAAATGCCAGTTCAGGAGACTATCAGCTATGTATGCCAAGGACAGAACACAAACTTGGATAAAACTGTGTGGGGACCCAGAGGAAGGCATAGTGAAGTGTATTTGTGAGGAGAATATCACAATAGACGGGGATATTAGAGCTCAGTTTTTTTTTTTTTTTTTTTTTTGAGACAGAGCCTCAAGCTGTCCCCCTGGGTAGAGTGCCATGGCATTACAGCTCACAGCAACCTCCAACTCCTGGGCTCAAGCGAGTCTCCTGCCTCTGCCTCCCAAGTAGCTGGGACCACAGGCGCCCGCCACAACGCCCGGCTATTTTTTGGTTGCAGCCGTCATTGTTGTTTGGCGGGTCCGGACTGGGGATTCGAACCCGCCACCTTAGGTGTACGTGGCTGGCGCCTTAGCCGGTTGAGCTATAGGCACCGAGCCAGAGCTCAGTTTTGAAGTACAAAAAGGAATTTGCTGGGTGGAGAAGGGTGGTACTTAGAGGGAGGAGAGAGGAAAGAAAGAATATTATAGGCCAAAGGAATAGTGTGAGGATGAAACACAGTGGTGTGTTTTGAGATCTCTGAGCAGGTTGGTGTGATTGGGTATGAGGGAGGAGCAGAGAGGCAAGAGGTGAGTATGGAGGGGTGAGCAGGGGCCAGATGAAGCAGGGCCTGGTAGGTCATATAGAGGCTTAGCAGGAGTTTAGGGAGGGCACTTGGACCAGGGACCTGGTTGTGACCAGGGAAATTTACACTTTTAACTGGAGGCAGAGCAATTAGTGAAAAGGCTGGGGCAATAATGGAGGTCAGAAATGTCTTGACCCGAGTGTAAGTGAAGAGAAAGAATTGCCAGAATTGGGTGACCTATTAGATGATGGAAGAGAGGGGAGAGTGAGCAGTCTGGGATAATCCCAGGCTCTGGCAAGAGTGACTGGATGGAGGGTAGAGCCGTTTTGCTGAAGGAGCGAGTGGTTTTGGACATGCAGAATTCCAGGAGCCTATGGTTGGTTTTGGGATTGGGTAGCAGTTGGATCTGGGCTGGAGACAGCTCTGAGAGTTGTCAGACATATGATGGTTCCTGAAGCAACAGCAGAGAATGAGGTCATTTGGGGAGAAATGCACGGAATGAGAAGACAACCTGCGTCTGAGGGCCGAGGAAGACCCCTCTGCAGGAGGCAAAAGGCAGAGAGAGAGGAGGAGAGTCACCAAGGGGAAGGGACTGGTGGGGAGTGGCCAGGCTCTTGTTTGCTGCTTTATCCCTGAAGCTAGGTGGCCATGACTTCAGGCACCCTACCCTGTCCTGCCGTGACCCCTTCTTTTGCTTCCCCTTTGCAGACCAGATGTTCGCCATCCAACCAGGCCTGGCTGAGGGGGGCCAGTTCGTGTCGGACCCTCCTAGAGTATGCCAACCTGAGCTCCAGCCAGACAGCAACTCCAACTTCATGGCAAGTGCCAAGGATGCCAATGAGAATTGGCATGGGATACCAGGCAAAGTGGAACCTATCCTGACGAGGAGTTCCTCTGAGTCCTCCTCTGACAATCAGGACTTCCAGGCCCCCGGACTTCCAGAGGGAGGGGTCCGCAGTCCCCCTGAGGGGGCAGAGATTCCTGGAGCTGAACCTGAGAAGATGGGTGGTGCTGGCACTGTGTGCTCCCCTCTGGAGGACAACGGCTATGCCAGCAGCTCCCTGAGCATCAACAGCCCTAGCAGCAGTCCTGAACCTGCCTGTGGGACCCCTCGAGGCCCTGGCCCTCCTGATCCCCTTCTGCCCTCGGTGGCTCAGGCTGTCCAGCAGCTGCAGGCTCAGGAGCGCTACAAAGAGCGAGAGAAAGAGAAGCACCACGTGCACTTGGTGATGTACCGTCGCCTGGCACTGCTCCAGTGGATCCGGGGCCTGCAAAACCAGTTGGTTGATCAGCAGGCTCGGCTGCAAGAGAGCTTCGACACTATCCTAGACAACAGAAAGGAGCTAATCCGCTGTCTCCAGCAGAGGGCAGCAGCATCCAGGCCCCAGGACCAGGGCTAAGTGTGTGCCTCCACAAGTGTACAAAGGAATATGCATATATTTGCAGGTGTGTGTGATTGTACATGATTGTTGGCTGGCACGAGTGCAGGTAAGCATGAGAGTGTGTGTGTGCTTACATGTAGACAGATAATGTGTAGACATGTGAATATGCGTGTGGAAATGAGCTTAAGTTTGCTGTGTGTGCACATGTGTACACACAAGCTAACTCGTATGAAAACCTATGTGTGAGTATGTAAGAGTGATCATATGTGTGTACAGCATGTTTGTAAGAGTGAGTACATTTGTATAAGCACATGTGAATAGGTACTCAGCTGTGTGTCTATAGGTGCGTGAGCGAGGATGTATATGCCAAAGGTGTGTGTACATATGAGTGAATCTGAGTGTGTGAGATTGCATTGAGTGTATGTGAGTGAGCCCTTGCTTGTGCGGGCCTATGTGTAGGGGTGCATGTGTGTAGGAGCAAGCATGGGAAGAGTATGTTAGGAGCATGTGTATTTGCAGGCAGACCATTGAGCAGGTGTATGCTAATATATATCCAAGTGCACCTCTGGGGCATCTGCTCATACCCTGTGTTACCCATGGCCTACCCTAGCCTTTTTTCTCCACTGAGTCTCACTGCTTCCTGGAGATAGGGAGCCAGCTTGCTGTCATTTATGTGAGGGTTGTAGCTGATCCATTCTCCTAGGATTTTCCAAGCTATTGATAGCTCTCCTCTTCCTTCCCTCCCTAACCCAGATTTTGCTCTACTAAGGCTATTGTCCCTGATGTTGACTTTGCTGTAAGAGGTTAAGTGGCTGCTCTGGCCTGCCACAGCATTTTTGCATGGCTATAATTTTGTCAGGGCAGTTGGTAAGGAATTGGTATCAGGGAGGGGAACTGAGGGGTGATGATAGAGATGATGGCAAGGGTGAAGTTAGAGACAGAGAAGCAGATAGGGGACTGTCCCTCTTGAATTCTGCTGATGGGTACATAGGAGATGAGCGTGGGGGAGATGACAATGGAAGAACCCTGTGAAGAATAGGAGAATGGGAATTCCTAAATGACAGTTTCCAAACAAAGCACACCTCTCCACTGGGTTGAAAACCATATGACTTAAGTTTCTGGTAAAAAGAACATGTGTTTATTGGCTTACAAGTAATGATAAGGTGTTCCAAGGCTGTTGGAGAAAATCTCATTTCTCTCTCTGTGCCTGTACCTTGCAGTGCCTCTCTGGCTTTAGCAACACTGGATGGATTTGGTCCACTTCTCTAAAATCAGACTAGGTGAGCCAGAGCTCAGCTTTCCAGGTTGAGCAGGGGGCAGTGTTATCAGCTGAGCCTCTGTAAGTTCTTAAGGTACTGGGCCATACCCCCTCTTTCCTTGCATGGGCCTTGAAGCAATATTGACAGGCTCTCTACTACAAGGCTGAGTTGGGAAGTGGGCAAGTCTCAGGTTGAACCAACAACTAAGATAGCCATGCTGTTTGCTTTGCTCCTGGGAGCCAAGAGAATGCAAGGTCCTGGTGGGTGAGCTATGGTATGGAAGTCGCTAATGCTGCCTCTGGCCCTAAGTGTCCCTACCTGCCAAATGTGGGGCTCTTCCTGTCTGTCACTAAAGAGTTTCATCCTTGACAAGTTGGTGGGTGAAAAGCAGAACAAGTGAGGGTACAGCATGGGCCCTGGGAATTTTATGTCTGTATTTATTGCATGTTGAGTGTGAACCTGGCTTCTGGAATAACCCAGGATGAATAAACTGGGGCAGAGAATTAAATTTCTTGAGTATGTGTTTCTATGTTACCTGTCATCTGGTAGTATCTTTTCCATACTATCTGAGTTCCCCGTTTGAGCAGTGTCCTGGACTGGGAGCTGGGGGTAGTTATAGGAAGACCCTGGGCAGGAGGAATTCAGACTCACATATCTGGCAGTCTAATAAGGTGGAAAAGTCTCTGGGGGGCCTCGTAGTCTGAAGGGGAAGACTTGACCTCTGCCCTGAGATCCCCATGTGGGACTGTCCTTGTCCTAAGTCACCTTTGGGGCTGAATAAATTATGAGGTACATACCATACACACATATTGTTTCAATTACTCAACCATGCCCTGGAGTCCCACTTCCCTGAGGGAGGCACCCCAACCTTAAAAAACTGAGTTGAGGTTCTTAGATGGTTTTGACACAATATAATTATAATATTCAGTCATCTCTCAGTATCTGAGAGGATTGCTTCCAGGCCCTCCCCATGGATACCAAAATCTGCGGATTGAAAATACTGCTGTACACACACACACACACACACACACTCACACACACACATACATATACATATACATATATATATATATATATTTTTTTTTTTTTTTTTTGAGATAGACTCTTAACTCTGTTGCCCAAGCTAGAGTGCTGTGGGTCCAAATGATTCTCCTGCTTCAGCCTCCCAAGTAGCTGGGATTACAGGTGCCTGCCACAGTGCCCAACTAATTTTTCTATTTTTAGTAGAGATAATGGTTTCTCGTTCAGGCTGGTCTTGAACTCCTGAGCTCCAGAGATCATACCCCTACATCTCCCAGAGTGCTAGGATTACAGGCATGAACCACAGCACCAAACTTACTGTGTTTCTGATTCATGCTTAAATTTGAGAATGTGGAACCTGCAGATACAGAGGGCCAACTGTACATGTGTGACTTAAGATATCTGCTGATGCCAATTTGGACTCTACTATTTTACAGTACTTTGTATGGTTTGCTGATTTCTCAAAATTTCATTTCTTTTTATTTTGCTTTCCACACTAAGCAAGATCCTCAGTTTCCAAGTCTGAGATCTCTCAGCTCCAGGGTTCTGCTGGCCTTGGCCCTGGCTTGAGCCCCTAACCCTTCCTATGTCCAGTCTTTGCTATAGCTGTCCTGACCTCTCCTCCCCAAAATTCATTATTTCTATAAAGAAGGTATGATAGTTAGCTACTCCTGCATAACAAATTACCCTAAAATGTGATGGTTTAAAACAATGTATGTTTATTACCTCATCATTTCTGTAGGTGAGGAATCTGAGCATAGCTTAGCTGAGTCTTCTGTATCAGTCTCTCAAGCTAGACATCAGTTCTGGTTGTGTGGTCCTAGCTGGTGGCATTAATTCCTCTCAGGGTGTTGGCTGGAGACTACCTTCAGTCCCTTGGCATGTGGGCCCTTTCAACATGGCAGCTTACTTCTTCAAAGTAGGCAAACCAAGAAAGTAATAGAGTGTTAGCAAGACAGAAGTCACAATATTCTGTAATCTCATTAGAGAATGTTGCCATATTCTATGGTTAAGGGCAAGTTACCCAAAGGGGAGAATGTGATACAGGTTATAAGTGTTGGGGGCAGTCATCATCTAGGGCCATCTTATAGGTCGACTACCACAGATGGTATAATTCAATTGGTTTAAATAAAGGCATGTTTATAGATTATTTAAATAATAATTCAACTTATAATTGAAATGTTTCAGAGAACTCTCATGTCCCTCTGCCCCTTCCAATAAGGCATACATATTTTAAGCCTCACAAAGCATACTTCTTAGCAGGCCTGGTGGCTGGTTCCTGTAGACCCAGATACTCATGAGGCTGTGGCAGGAGGATTGCTTGAGGCCAGGAATTCAGACTGTTGTACACTATGATCACGCTTGTGGAAAGCCACTATACTCCAGCCTGGGCAACATAATGAGAAGCCCATTTCTAAAAAACAAACAAATAAAAAACCTCATTAAAACAGGCAGTGAGGGTGGCACCTGTGGCTCGGTGGGTAGGGTGCTGGCCCCATATACAGAGGGTGGTGGGTTAAAACCTGGCCCTAGCCAAACTGCAACAACAACAACAAAATAGCCAGGCATTGTGGTGGGCACCTGTAGTCCCGGCTACTCAGGAGGCTGAGGCAAGAGAATGGCCTAAGCCCAGGAGTTGGAAGTTAATGCGAGCTGTGATACCACAGCACTCTACCGAGGGCAATAAAGTGAGACTCTGTCTCAAAAAAAGAAAAAAAAGCAAAACAGTGACTTAGGACATTAATAATTCTTTTCATGTCTATGCTTGATACTCAAACAGAAATAATATTGAACCAATTTTAATAAATTCCATTTACAGCTGTTTTGGCAAAGGGTTATAGCTAAATTTGAATGAAGATTTCTTATAATGAGACAGTGTTGAGCCCTCAGAGCACAGGACAGTGACTTTTCAGGAGTCTCTTTTCTCAATGTGCCAAGGCTCTTCTGAACACAACTACTATTTAAGGTCACAGACTCTGTAGCTAGATACCCTGGATTTGGATCTTGGTCCTATCATTTTTTGTTTGTGTGACCTTGGGAAAGTTAATTAGCTTCTCTGAGCTTCAGTTTTTTCACCTCAGAGAAGAAACAGGGGACAATAGTAATATTAAATAATTACCTCATATAGTTGTAAGGATGAAGCAAATATATGATGTACAAAAGCCTTAGAACTGTACCTGACACACAGTAAATAACATTGAATTGTAATTATTATTATAAATTAGGGTGACCAGATTTTAACATTTGTAAAGCGGGACAACATGGCCCGGGGGCAGGGCAGGGGTG